TGAGTGAGTGAGTGAGTGAGTGAGTGAGTAAGTGAGTGAGTGCCAGAGAGTGGGTCAGTCAGTCAGCCAGTCGGTATCGAAGTCGGTAAGCCAGTCGGTAGATCGGTTGGTCAGTCGGTTAGTCAGTCAGTCAGTCGGACAGACTTCCAGTCCGTCCGTCCGTCCGTCCGTCAGTCAGTCAGTCAGTCAGCAGGTGAGTGAATGAGTGGGTGAGTGAGTGAGTGAGTGCCAGAGAGTGAGTCAGTCAGTCAGCCAGTCGGTATCGAAGTCGGTAAGCAGTCGGTAGATCGGTTGGTCAGTCAGTTAGTCAGTCAGTCAGTCGGACAGACTTCCAGTCCGTCCGTCCGTCCATCAGCCAGTCAGTCATTCAGTCAGTCAGTCAGTCAGTCAGTCAGCAGTCACTGTATCAGTCGTACAGTTAGTCAATCAAACAAGCAAATCAGTAGGCAAACAGACAGACATCATCGACTAACAAACACTTTTCAATTGACTCTGAAGATGACCTTCCGCTCAGATTGTATAAACGTCAGTCACCAACAACAGTTCTTTTCAGAACTACGTTCACCCAGACGATCACACTAAACAAACTACTAATACTCCAGACTTTAAACCATTTACTAAACAAACAGTCAGATGAATGTAAAGTTTACTCTTGTTTACTTTAATCCTCAGGTGTGTTTTGAACCTTTTGGTGTATGGTCCCTCTCAGCGGCTAGAAAAGTGTTCCACCTCAATAGATCCACAAGGGCCTCTCTTAAGGAACTAAAATCGAATCGTCTGGTTGGACTTGCTATAGCTCTTAGACCAGAAGGCTCGTTATACGGGGTACTACTAGCCACGGGAACTCCAGGAGGACTCTATAGTAACGTTTATTACAGGAGATTTCGAGGCAGAAGTTTTCACGAGGAAATATCGTTCTGAGAACAAGACTTTGTTCAACTGCTTCCTGGTCAACGAAAGATTTTTTACCAGAACAACGTCGCAGAAGGTTTATTGGTTTGCGCAGACAGTTTGTTTATCGATATAACAGTTTTGTAAGTTCGAAAAGATTTTAGGGAAGTTTTTCAACAATATGGGTTAGGAAAATATGCCGTATGGCTTTGGCAAGGACTGGTTTGTACGCAGTTCATCAGAACCTTTTGCGTTGCATCTGACGAAATCATGAAAGCTATTTTTCCTAAGGAAATGTGCGCAGTTATCGCTAGTTAAAACTCCATGCTCCTCATGGTACCGGTAGCTGACTACTCGATGATCAGAGCCTGCGCGTTTCGTTAATTTTCTCCTATACTGTTAGTGAGGGAAGCAACTGCTCATGTATTCACTTGGAATGATGTCTCTAAACATAAATTATGACCGGGTCTGCAGGTTTTGCAATTGATGAATTCTGTCACAAAAAAACTTTTGTTCAGCGAGTCTTCAGACTACTCGGTCAGTGGCGGGGTGCGGCAACAATCTGACCCAGGAGAGCTGGTGCTTTGTTGTGACTGACGAAGAAGTAACGGAAACTTGTCGCGCATATTTTGGAGTTCAGTAATATTCATGTAATTTGTATTAACACCCGATCTGTTTTCACTAGTTGTAGTGACATTGAAACACATTTTTTTGTGCATGAAACATATCTAAGTACGTAATTAGTTAGGTTAAATTACAGCAGATATTTATTACGCTACGAAGTGGAGGTGCAAACTTTAAGTTAAGCTTACAGACAAATGTTGAATTTTTGAAATTGTTTGTAATGTTTGTAAATCTTTTGAATAAGAAACCTTAATTCCAAGAATGTAACGTCTCTTTTTAATAAACCCTGCAAACAAGCCCGTTTAGGTATCTTGTTTAGCAAGCTACGTAAATCTGTTCAGATGAGACATGTTCTCAAGAATTTTAAAAGCAACTGCCTAATAAAACTGAGAGAATTTTTATCGCTTTATTTTATGAGTGATTTTAACATAAATCACACGACATGTTCGTCTTCCAATGGCTCTTCCAGATGCTTTATGGGAATGATCAGAGCAACCTCTCTACTAAACCTCAAAATTTTGCGGAACACCTTAAAGCCAAGCACAGTGAAAGTGATGGATGACAGAAACAACAAAATTGTAAAGATCAGAAGTAATACCAAAAGGAGAGTATAAATCTCCGAAGATTTTTCGTGAGTTGGATCCGCGTCATTTATTTGATCCAAGAAATATCTTGCGTTGACTTTGATGACGTAGTAGACAAAGGGGATCTCGAGAATCAGAAGTATGAAGTTTACAAATCCAAGAACAAGGATTCCTTTCTCGTCGCTGCTTAGCATTTCCGCGACTTGACCAAGATGCCACTGAAATAACGTAAAAATGATTTTGTTAAGGGTATATGGGTTATTGACCGAGGGTGTTCATGGACTTCGACTCCTTCTCGATCCATAAACGCGCAATAAAAGAACTTGGCCAATATCCAGCCATCTTGACCGAACAAGCTTGGTCAATAAAGGATTTATTATACGGATAAAGAACACTATTTTCTTGCGGGACACAGCGGGTAGTCCCGAAAGGGTAAGGTAGCGTCATCTTGACCGCTCAGTCATGTTGTAAACTTCGTAACAAAAAAACCAAGCCTTAACAAGCTTTATTTTTTAGTAAAAATGCTAAAAATTAAATAGACTATCCAAAAAGCCCAAAGCATAAACTTTTTTGGTTGAACAGAGTTTAAATTCTCAGATTCCTAAACTGTCTGAAGCCAATAAGGTGTATGTTCTCTCTTTTTGTCATCACTGCTAAGTAACGTTGTAAACAAATCTTTCGGAGTGCCCAGTAGGGTTTCTGTAGAAGAAGTAGAAACCCAACCTACCTCGTGTAGAGGTTTAAATCTTCTCTTGGTCTCGAACTTAAAATGACACAGTTCACAAGTGTCTTGGTTGCGCAGGCCCAGCCATTTCTCCATGCACAGCTTGTGCACGAAACCGAGGCTACCTCTGCAATCACAAGGACTAACAATGAGCTCTCCTTTTTCTGCCTCAGAGTTTCCAGATGTCTGGCAGATCCGACAGTCTCGTGTAGAGTTGTCACTTTCATTGACATTGAGACATTCAGTTGACAAAGGCTGTGTAGAGAGATTAAATATTATTTCTTACTTGACCTTTTAGAATTGCAAGAGTTATGGGAGTGGATTTGAATTGAGTTTCGCGGGCAATCCGAAACCTTTTTAGGTTTTCTTGTCCCCCGCTTTATGACTGGCTTAAAAATCTCTTTCTTAATCAATCGAATGCTAAACTAAAACCATTTGTGACTTAGTCACGCGTGTTTTCCGGCGTTTGATGTTGTTTATGATGCTTCTATTTGCTTTGAATTCTCATTCACTTATTACATTGTCGCGTCTATTGTGATAAGAAATTGCATTTCAACCTGTATATGTATGTTGTAGGCACTATCTTTTGGATGGACACCACAGCCTGAAGTGTTCTCAAAGGCTCTAGGCCACTGTTTGCGCATCTTGAAAAGTTTAGCCTAAATTGCAAGTTCCTCGCTTGCAATCCGTGTCAATCTTCTCCATCCTTCACCATCCTTGTTCCTCTATGGTTTATTGTTATCTCTTTGGCGTTTTTTCCCATCTTAGTAAACTATTATTTTCAGGTTTCCGTTAATTTGAAGGTAATTCAAATAGCTCAAAATACCGTAAATGAGCTCCTTTAAAAAAACCTTTAAACGCTAATACAGTAATTTTTAAATTATCCCAGTCAGTACAAAGGACTTGTATATGGTATAATACTTATCCTACTTCCCGTTTGTAGGAAATCCCCAAAACGTTTTTTTATCGTGTCCTGCATTAATTTATAATTGGTCTCTACTGGTAACTGAGCTTTCCGACATACTGCTGTTAAAAAGCAACACTAACCAGCAACAAGAACAGCAACAAAAAATAACAACAACAAAAATCAGAACAGTAACAACAACACGCCAACAAGAACGGCGACAGCTATATAGAACAGTAATTACCAGTCTGTAATTAGACAAAAACGGCACAGCAATAGCAATACAACAGCAATGTCAGAAGTAGCGTGAACCGTGACAACAACGACACTGCAAAAAAAAAAATTATGTAGTCTTTCAAGCGCTTAGGCTCTTGGTCAAAACTTCTAGTCGGCCATTCGCTGTAAACTCGAACTGCTAATTTTCTTTTTTATCGGTTACCTGGGGCAAAGGTTTTACTGAACTCGTCTATTTCTGTTCTCATCACAGTAACTTGTGCTACTCACCGAGTGAACTCTTTCATTACGCTGAAAATCCTCTGATCGATTATAATCCACATCCATTATTTCCTTGGAGCAAAATTTCAGTCCAGACTGTTATAATACTTTTTTTTCAACTGCAATGACGCGTAACTCAGTCCTGATGCGATTCGAAGTAAAAAAAGTCGTTGAAATCTGAACAACGCCATCAACGCCTTGTTGCACGCGGCATTGGCTTTCAGTGAATTATTTTGTCGGGGGTAAAAACAAAAAGAAAATATCAAAGTTGTCCAACTGCACGATTTAACTTCCAGTGGAAACACTCGACAACATTCAACCTTTTCCCTCCACAAAAAATAAATCGCCTGGAGAAACAGTCATGGTTAGAATTCGCGCGTGAATCCAAGTGTTAGCGCGCGCTGTAATTGGGCGCGAGATAAAATCTTTTTCGATCAAGCTTGATCAAGCTAAGATTGAAAGGGCGGATAGCGACTAACCTGAATTTCGTCGTCTATTTTGTCTACCTAAACAGTAAAACTCAAAAAAGTCTTTCACGGGATAAAGCGAGTTCAACTTCAAGCTAAAGTGAAGAAGGGAAAAGGTAGGTCCGCAATGCATATTTTGGAATGACTTTATGAGCCCGCAATCACACCGCATCCTCTGACGTGTCCTTTTCCAAGATGGCGGACAGGCAGGGTTTTGATTCCTCTCAAAAACAAACGCCTTTACACGGGATTTCGTTGGCAAATTTTGGAGGGAATTTGAACTTTGGGCCAACGCTTGTGCCTGCTTCCGATTCTCCATCGATTTCGTTTGGAAATCAACCTACCGCAACCCCGACTGCCAGTAGAGGTAATGTAAGCTTAAAAATAATTTTAATGTAATTTCTTTTTTGATACTTGCAAAGCGCATTGAATGATAATTTGAATCTTCGCTTTTCTTTCATTTGATTACTTGGTTATCTGTTGAACTCTTGGAAGCTGATGTTTCATCAACCTCGATCAGAGTTTCTATGTTGATTTGTTGGTTTCAATTTTAAGTAGGAAAGATAAGATCTAGATTTGTTTCGCGACATGTTGGTAGCATCCTGAAATACTTCATGTATTTCAAATCTGATACTTGGGAAAACAAGTACTAAAGAAACAAAAAAACGTCCTTCCGTGCTATTGCATTGCTAAATTCAGCTGGAACTCAATCAACTACAGTTGTAACACCGATTCAGACAAATGAATGGATGATGAATTTAATAACCTTTAGAAAATGGCCCAAAGAAAATACGCATGTTGATTGGTTCAAAATAGTTATTGTGTTTCTATTAAACAATTAGATTACGAGCTTGAGATTTCGATTGAAATCAAGAGCGAATAATCAAAAGCGAATAATCTGATTGTTTTAGTATAACTCTACTAGTCGTTCAAAACTTTATCTAAATCCTTTTCAAAGACACCTTGAAAACGCCAAGAAGTGGCTGTCATTTTGTTAACAAGGGCACACTGCTAGCTACTCACTATCTATAGTGAGTAGCATAGCCAATCAGAGAGCGGCATTTGTGATAGAACGCTAGTAGATTTATACTAAAACTCGATAGAAACACGTGTGGTACGTGGTACATGTTTTCTGTTTCTTAGGTAACACAATACCTTGAGAGTACTACTTTTGTCGAATTTTTCTTTTTGAGCAAAACAAAATGGTCGTCATAAAATTCTAACATTTCCCAAAAATGAAAGTAAAATCTTAAAATGCACTTGAGTTATTTTAGCAAAAAAGTATTTTTTTTATTAAATTAATAAAACAGTTAGGTGTCATAGTCCTCATAGCGTGTAGACTTTTTGTGCAAAGTGGTTTCCTCCGGTAGCTCTTATTACAAGGGCCTCATTAGCATTTTCTTGTTTACGCACTATTTCGCAGTTGTGGTTTCGAATTAATTCGCTCTTCCATTCTACCTATCATTCCTTATGAGGTCATGAAACCTGCTTAAGAAGGAAGAGAAAAATCCTTGGACAGCGAAAAAATTGAAGCCAGGACCTAAGAAGAAGACTAAAGCGGAATTTCTCAAAGACAAGAAGAAAACTTTGACCAACAGTGGCAAGGGATCATGCATACATGTACTTGTAACCGAACTCTTGCCATGCTTATTTCTCTTGGTTTTCCCATTTCTTATGAGTGGTGAAGACTGCTCTTTAAATGCATGCTGAAGTTCAACCAAAGAGAACATGACTGTTACACTATTGTGCCTTGGAATTCTCGCGAAAATCATTTCGCTCACTGTGAACGCTAGGGGTGCCATCATTTCATTGACTGGTGGCATATTCTGTTGTCATACATCTGAGTAAAGGCGTGACAGGTTCACAACTCTTCAAACAGTGATAACTTGCAATAGTTTTTCTCGAGAATACCATCTCTTTAAATGAATTAATAGGTGTAGAATTGGCAGATTTTCATGAAATTTGGCCAGAACATTCCCTAAGCATCGAGGAACAAAAGGATGTCAAGGATTTTTTATATCATGGATATTTCTCTTGTGACAGGTGTGAATGCAACAGGGTCACCAAATTACTCAATACTATTAACTTTATGGGTCTATAAAAAGATAACCAATAAGAATACTGGAAAACTCCAACACCTTTTGAGAGATTGACACTTGCTGACTAACACTGTCTAGTACTTAAACATCACTGCTTGCGTTTGATACCTGATTAGTTTGGTGGAATGACAATGGGTCGTTTTGCATTTCTTGGCTTCTTTCTTCTCAACAAAGGCATGGCCAGTACAGTGGATACTTTTTTTAATTCTCCAGTTCATAACCTTTCAATTGATGTATACTTTTTGGTAGTTTCCTTGAAAACAACCCTTGTGTGAATTTTTTTCTGAAGGGCACCCGTGAAGGTATTGTGTAACCTTAAATGGAAATCGCAGGAATCCCAAGTTTCTGATCTGGACAGAAGCTGGAGAAATTATGTTTGTGCAGTTAAATACATACCAAATGGCAAATATGTATCAAATATATATCACATGACAATTGAGAAAGAGAGGGAAACAAAATTCCCTTCTTATAGACATCCTCATGGTTACATGTAGTTCTATCTGTGATAACTGGGTGTCTTTATCGTGTGTGTGTTTCTTTTGAGTAAGGCTCTGCTGTATTGCTAATTACATGTAAGTGACTAAAATTACACATGCTCACATTCATTAAATGAATTTCTTGGCTTCAGCTAATTCAGGTCTGGAACATGCTGGTGAGATAGACAGTTTTCTTGGTCAGCAGTCAGCTCCACAACTGCAGGCTCAAGGACCTTTTCAATCACCTACAAAAGACTCACCAGGGGTACTGCAGGGAAAGAATCAAAGTTCTCCATTCTTTACAATGGCTTCCCCATCATCATCTGGTCAAGATGATTTTCTGTCACCTGCAACAACAACTCAGAGTGTGGCAAGTAGTTTTCCCAGTCCACAGGTTCCTGCCACAAAATCCCCCTACCAGCCATCAACAGCTGTGGGGTCTGGGCCTCAGACTCCTCCAAGACCATCAGCTGATCTTCCCCAGTCTTTTCCTCCACCGCCAGCCAGTCGGTTCCAGTCTCCACCTCCACCTGTGACCAACCTGCCCCAAACTTCACCTATTCCGTCCAGCAGTCTGCCCCAGACCCCACCTCAGCCTGCGGCCAGCTGGCCTCAGACCCCACCCCAGCCTGCTGGTGGTTGGCCACAGACTCCACCGAATGCAGCAAATTTATCCCAGTCCACATCGCCACCTTTTGTTCCGCGCACCTCTCCTCAACCCTTGTCACACTCCTCATCTCCTCAACAAGTGCAAAGTGGCATGCCACCTAGTGTGACACCGGCTGCTACAGTTGAACCTATCCAACCACACTGGTTTTACAGGAAAGGAAATTCTGCCTGGATGCCATTTTCATATATTGATTCTGATTGCCTGGAGCAGGCTNTTTGTGTTTTAACGCGATCAAAAGAAGTTTCAACTTTAATTTCAGTTGATTTAAATAAATAAAAAAAAAACACCTGGAGTAGAATGTTTAGATTAAAACTAAATAAATTTTGCTTTGCTTTGCAATTTTCTTTTGCTTCTGTTCCAATGGTTGGTCGCGCAACACACGTTTTTAAACGTGGACAAAGTTCTTCACACCTCGCTCGTCTGAAACGCGCATTGTTCACGTGCAGAAAGAAAACGTTCCCTCTCTAGATCTGATCTTGTATGGTTTTTCTGATTTGAAGTAGCACCTTTGCATATAAGATATACTAATTAGGAAAGAGTGTTAGGTAGGTGACGTTAAACATCACCTGGGACGAGTTGTTCGAAAGCCGGTCACGGCTAACCTAGGATTAAAAGTTAGCCAAAGCATTATTTCTTCTTACATAGAAATGTTTTTCATTGCTTATGTTTTGTGAAGGCTGAGATTATTCAAACTAAAACCTGAAGGACAAACAACGTAAACAGAAAACCTCAAAGCAAAGTTGCAAAGCTGAAATCAAAATTCTTGCTAATCCTGGGTTAGCTTAATCGGGCTTTGAACAACCCAGTCCTGACCTGCGATTTGTTAATCTGGGATGATGCGACAGTGGCATTTTTCCCGAAGAAATTCATAGTTAAAATTATCCATTGTTTTAGTTAGCAGTGAACCAGAAAAATAGAACGCGAATAATTTAAGTTGTTATCATAAACATCATTTTCGGCTTCGGCCTGTATATGCAAGGGAAACGAAAGCAGAAATGAATGATTGAGTTGTTGCTTTATCATAAAATAGCCGTTGGACATATTTGGAGACCATGGGCGCTTTCCATTGGAAGAAAAATTCCGGTTTTAATTTCCGGAAATGGAACAGCATTATCCGGTATTTCCAGCAGGGGACAACCTCGCGCGAGGAATACCCAAATGTTTGTAAATTTCTTACTGGGAATTTCCGTTCCATTTAATTTTATTCCCGGAATTTCTGGAGGAGAGAGAGAGAGGTGTGCTCCTATTCGACCAAAAATTCCGGTTTCAATAACCGTAATTTCCTCTGGAATTTTTGGGAAAAAAGAGGACAACTTCGCGAGGTTTACCCAAATTGTCGAAAATCTCTTACGGGAAATTTCCGTTCCATCTGACATCTGGAAATTTTCCGGAAAAGTTACGGAAAAATCTATCCGAAAGTTAATGAATTTCCGAAATGCCAACCATTCCAACGAAAATTCCGAAATTTCTGGGAGGAAAATTAAAGGGAACGGAAATTTCCGATAAGAATTATATCCGTAAATTAGTATCGGAAATTTTGGAAATGCTGTTTCTCTCTGGGTATTGAAATTAGAATTTCTCATCGAATGGGAAGTGGCCAAAAATCATTTTTCATATTTCCAGAAACTTTCCATACCAATTACTTCCGTTTCCAATTTTTGTTTAAATGGAAATTGTTTTAATGCATGATTACGTCTCGTGCTCAAAATTCACCAGCAAGCCTCGTGTGCAAGAAATTTTCTCAAGCCTCTGATACCTTCGTGTTTTTGGGTGCTTACCATGTAGCCAAAAAATCTGAAACTTTCGGTTGAAAGTCAAATGGAACAGTAATTTTCCAGAAAATCCGTTCGGAAATTGTAGAGTTCTTCAGAGGTAGTCTTCATTTCCATTCAAAACGTTAAGGCTGAAATTTCCTTAGCGTTTGCTCCATTTTTCAATTTCCAGTCTCTCATCAGTCGAAAACAATTACGGAAAATTGATTGTAAATAAGCGCCATCTCGTTCAGTTGGTTTGCTGATTTTGGCAAAGCGCTTACAACTATTCAGCGGTCATCCCAACCGGTTTATTCTGACCAATGGTAAGTACCCTTTGTACGATTGTGTTCTTTTAATCTCTGCTGCTTTGGGAATTTGTCCATAAAGTTTTGGAATTTGCGTTTTCAAAGTGATGCCTCAGTGGTGAAATGTCGCTATGCGCGCGTGCTTTCAATACATGTGACCAGTCCCTAGCCTTTTTACATATTCATGCAAACTTAATGTATTCAAAATTCGTTGCACGTGTGAAACTTTTCCTTCGTGAAGCCACGTTTTGTTGCAAGAGTCGCCGAAGATTATGAATCTTAGAAAACGTTTTCTGGTGAATACAGACTTGGAAAGGTCGAGAGACTTACAGGAAGAATCGCTTTACGGTCTGTCTGGGAAAACCCGGGTGACATGAGGTAAACCTGAGGTAAGTTACATGAACAACTCTATCTTCAAACATTTAGGATCAGTGCAAGCAAAATCCTTTGTCTTCCTCTTGAGCTTAAAATGTTATCTTTCATACTGCCGTTCAGTGGCGTATATTGTTCCTTACGAGCTTGAGAAACTTATTTGGATATGTTTTAAATTCGACGTGTTCTTGAACAACTTTCAAATGAGTCAAAAGTAGATGTTAAGTAGTTATGTTTATCTAATCTCTAGGTTTCTGGTACGTTATGCTTTACACGACTTGGGAGAAACTATAATAGGATTATTCGACAGAAGAACTCACAATTGCGTTCTTCACTTGTTCTGAATACCCTGCCAATCATTCTTGAAATCAAAATCGCTGTAAAA